GGCTATTAGAAATATATGCTGTTGTTAAGTGACATCAAGTCAGTTCCGACTTGTAAATCTTTGCAGAAGCAGAAAGTATCATCTTTTTCAGTGCATTGCTTTATGCTTGGCATGTAATAATTATTCAATAAATGGAAGCCATGAATACTGTTATCATTGTTTTTGTTACTCATCTATATTAAAAAAATGTACTTATATTTTAAGTCGTAGATATTTCTCTGCCATTAAATATTTTGTTTTGTTAAGCATATTGTATGGCTTAGAGAAGTAACTATTTCTTTCTAATTCTTACTTTGGCTTGATTTTTCTTTCAATTAACTTTGGTGGTATATTCAGCTTTTTGCTACTTTCACAAACATGTTTGTAATACTGTGGGTCTGATAACTGAACTGTTACTTGAACGCCTTGCTCAGAAACTAATGTTTTTAATTGTTTATGCTTGTGGGAAGTGCCTTTTACTATTTAACATGTAGCGTTTTCTCATCTCCAAAGAAGCATTTGCTAATGTTTGTGCTTCTAGAGACTACCTTTGTGATTCCCTGGGGGCGGTATCAAAGATTCCAGCAGCAGCTGTATCAACAGAGATAGTTGCTTGTACATAATTGTGATTGTAAAAGTACTGTGAGGATTGGGCTTTCTTGTGCCTGAATATTAGCTTTGTTGTCTGAAATAATAAGAACTTGGCAAAGTTATTTTAAAGAGAAGCTAGGCATTTTGCACTGAAAAGTAGAAAAAGTCTAGTTCTTTATTTGGTAAAATAATGTTTTTCACTTTAGTGTTTTCAGTGTGTTTCATTTACACATTTAATCATAAAAATGTTTATTTTAGTTTGAGTTAATTTTTTGTTATTTCCTAGCCCGTTAAATTTTTAGCAGGCTGTCTTATACTTTTTGTCTGGAGTAGAATTAAATAAATTATTAACTATAGGACTTGAAATCTCTTGCTTTCCCTTACAGTACTTTGATGATAATAGGAATAAAGCAAAAGAACAAAATGTTTGTTGTGTAGTGACTAGTTAGCTTGTTCGTATGAATTTGTGGTAACTTTGTTAAGGAACCTTTAAAAATTGATTAATATTTTTTTAATGTTTGAATCTATTTCAAATTACATTTTAATGCAATGCTTTTTCTTAAGAAGGCAACACTTCATGAAATTGGTGCATTTAAATTAATTCTTAGAATCCTTAGGATCCTATTGTTGTGTGCTGTTGTGTTGGCTCTTTCACATAGCGACCCTACATAAGGTTTCCAAGCCTGTAAATATTTACAGGAGCATAAAATCTTATCTTTCTTCCATAGATCAGCTGATGGATCCAAAAGGCTGACCTTTTAGTTAGCAGCCCAGCATATAGGGAAATTTCTCATAGTTACATTATCTTACTGAGAAAATTAGACATGGGAGTAATTTGTTTTCTGCAAGTTCACAAAATGTGACAAACTTCTGGTTTCCTGATTCCTAGTGAGATACTGTACTTCAGACTTTTTCAAGAATTTTTGAAATTGATTGAGATGTGGATTTTTTATTTGTACAGAGTATATTTAGTGTACTAAAATGATAAAGTGGCATCCTGGTGTGGCACTGTAGGAGAAACACTATCCTGCTAACTGCAAGGTCAGTGATTCAAATCGACCAGCTGCTCCTTGGAAACCCTATTCAAGGTTGCTATGAGTGAGAACTGACTCAATGGCACTTAACAAAATGATAAACAATGAATGAAAGCTCAGCTTTTGAGAATTCTTAAAAATTCAGTTGTTTTTAAGTGTCTTTTCTGGTTGGGAGCATGGTGATTCCATAGGTTACAAACTGGACTGCCAAAAACAAGGTTAGTGGTTCAGCGGTTCAAGTCCATTAGCTGCTCTACAGGAGACAGATGAGACTTTCTGCTCCGCAGAGATTTACAACCTCAGAAACCCTATACAGGACCGATATGAGTCAGAACTGACTTGACAGGACAACAACAATTTTCTGGTTAAGTAATAATTCATACCGTGTGAAAGTTTTTTAAAAATGATTTAGCCATGTTGTTGTTGTTCAGTGCTGTTGAGTCGATTCCAACTCATCGCGACCCTTTACAGGGTTCAGAGGAGCACCTGATGGATATGAACTACTGGCCTTGTGATTAGCAGTCCAGTGTTTATCTTACCTTGTTTAATGCCATCAAGTCAGTTCCGACCCATAGCGACCCCGTATAGGATATCCAAGGAGCTGGTGAACTTGAACCACCAACCTTGCAGTTCAAACGACTTTGCCGTCTGGTGCATTAACACACAACGTCACACCAGGATACATATGAAAATAAGTAAGTGTTTCATATTTCCTTTTCTTAGACAGAGTTCCACTTATCCTACAGTGTGGCACTATAAGAGAAGCAGTCAACCATAAGGTCAGTTTGAATTGCGAGTTTGGTGGTTCAAACTCACCAGCTGCTTCTCAGAAACCCTATAGAGGGTTGCGATGAGTCTGAAGCAGCTCCACTGCACTTACTTAACAACAGCAACAAGACTAGCATAATTACTTGATCACTTACTTGATAATTTGCCTGATACTGTTTTGCTTTAACATGTGGTGGTCGGTGGTGGTGTGCCGTGGAGTCGGTTCCAACTCATAGAGACCCTGTACAGGGTTTCCAAGGCTGTAAATCTTTATGGGAGTAGAAAGCCTCATCTTTCTCCCAAGGAACAGCTGGTAGTTTAGAACTGCTGACCTTGAGGTTAGCAACCCGATTTGCAACCACTACACTAGCAGAGCTCCTTAACATATGAGAGTGAGTCAAAAATTATTGTTACTCTGCCTATAGAATTTATTTTAATCAACTTTTAGAAAATACAAAAACATCATTTTTCAACATAATCTTGCTTTTCCATCTGTCAACAAGCTTTCATATTTCCTTATTGAAAAAAAAAAATGTTTTAGGCTGATATGCGAGCCACGACTGCACCGCTATATTCACCTCTTCATTAGAGGTGAATCTTCGTTTTCGAAGGTCTGCTTTCAGGGGACCAAACAGGTGAAAGTCCAATGGAGCAAGGTCTGGACTACAGGAAGGCTGCTTTAACACCTCAAAATGAAGTTTTTGCAGAGTGTCAACAGTGTGGGCAGAGGTGTGCAGACATGCATTGTCATAAAGGATCACAGTGCCCTTTGATAACAGTGTTCTGTGTTTAATCCGAAATTTAGCCTTCAGCTCTTCAGTGAGCATTTCACTGGTGTCGCTTGTGCTCTTCTCTCTTGATGTTCCTAGGGTCTTCTGTTCCTGGACTGTAAGATTAACTACTCCCCCCCTTTTGGTACACAACTTCTACCTTTACAGTTGTGACAGTCATAATTAGTCATGGTAATAATTACTCACTATTGAATCATAAGAATCTTATTCCCATATCTTTTCATCAGACCCATCTAGACAAGATAATAACTATTTAGTGGGGACGCTACCTTTCTGATGGATAACTTTTCTGATGGATGACTTTTGAACTTTTTTTTGGTCAGCTATTGAGTGTGTTCCATTCCATACTCTGCTGTTTACTCTCAGGTTCATAGTGATGAATCCATGTAACAATTTTTTTAAACAATTTACCTTTCTTCTTAATATCAGTCGAAATTTTGTTGGCAGGTGTCCAAACACATGTTTGTGTTCTTCTGTGAGTCGCTTTTGTACTCATCTCACACAAACTGTATGAAACCCAAATATGTCATGGGTTGTTTCATAGGCAGAGCCATGGCTGATTTGCAAATGATTTTTACCATATAATCCACTGTCATTTGTCTATTCAACAGAATCATTTTATAACGCATAGTCATGTTGTCATCAGCCATGGATGTGGAGAGATGTTTTAATATAACAGGAGTGTGGATAATTTTTTACTCACCCTCATATAACACATTTTATGTTCCTCTAAGTAGCCATGCCTCAGAAACCCTATATAGGGTCTCTATGAGTCGGAACCAACTCGGTGGCACTTAACAGTACCACTCTAGACACTATGGTTGGTGGTTATATGCCACTGAGAGTAGGTTCTGTCTCATAGGGACCCTGTATAGGTTTCCCGAGGCTGTAAATCTGTATTGGAGCAGAAAGCTTCATCTTTCTCCCTCATAGTGACTGGTAGATTTAAACTGCTGATTTTGCAGTAAGCAGCCCAACTCATAACCCACAACACTACCAGGGATCCTTCTAGGCACCACAATCCTTTTTTAATTCATTACTAATAGTCCCAGATTGCAGTAATTTGAATTCTTGGCTAAATCTTAACCATTTCTTCTCTTCTTTACAAATTTGCTATTGTTAGATGCTACAATCTAACATACTGTTAAGAACACATACATCATATTTTGAATAGTGCCCGGCACATGAGTTGTTGTTAAGTGCTGTCAAGTTGGTTTCAACTCATAGTGATAGGGTTTGTTTCTGAGGAGTTGCTGATGAGTTTGAACCACTGACCTTGTGGTTCAAATTGACCTTGTGGTTTAACCTACAGTGTCACACCAGGACTCCTGTTATACAAATAACACTAACTCCATGGTTTGTGTTGTTTATATAAAGTGTTAGTCATTACTACTACAAATACTACTATTCCTATGACTTCCGCTTGTCTCTTTTTAAAGTACTCTAATCTTGGAGTCCTGGTGTAACGCTGTAGTATAAACATGGGACTGCTAACCCCAAGGTTGGCAGTTCAGACCCTAGTTGCTCCTGGGAAACTCTATACATGGTTGCCATGAGTGAGAACTAACTAGATGGCACTTAACAACAACAACAACAATCTTGGAAAACAGATAAATCTAAAATAAGAAAAATTGCCTCTGTGGAAACCAAAATCCCCCTCCAAGAAAACAAAAATAGTTGAATATTGTGTGTACTTTGGCAATGTATTTTGGCTACTGAGAATTTTTTTTTTTTTTTTTTTTAGTTCCTTTAGCAGGCCATGTTTATTAATCTCAAATAAGAAAAAATTATAGTAAAATTCATCTAAATAAACAGGACTTGTTTTTGTTTTTTTTAGGGAAAAAGATCTTGAAGAAGCTTTAGAAGCAGGAGGTTGTGATCTTGAAACTTTGAGAAACATAATTCAAGGGAGACCACTGCCTGCTGATCTGAGGGCCAAAGTTTGGAAGGTAACTGGAACTTAAAAAGAATAAAATATAATCACTTAAGAGTAATGTCAGAAAAGCTAACTTAGTTGCAGAAGACTTTATCTTATTTAAGTATGTCACATCTACAAAATGCGTCAAAGCAGTTTGCAAAAATGTGCTTTTTGTATTGTTTGGAATGGTTAATAATTGTGATTTAATTTTTAGAAAGTAATGTTATCTTTCATAGTCAATAAAAATGGTGTTTATGAAGATTACTTAATGATGTGGGAAAATATAACGAAAGAGTAAAATAGGGTATACATAGGAATGAATGACCTTAGATGTGTTTTTTAAAAAAAGAATGTTTTGAGTGTTGGGATTATGGAAGATTTTCTTTTTTTCAAACATTCTCTATTACATAGGTATTATTCTTAATTTTTAAATTAAGATTTCTTTTTATGATTACAAAAGAAATACATATCTTTGTAAAAACATATATAAGCAAAAAGGATAAAATAAAAATCCTATGTCATCTGCCACCTAAAGGTAAAACACATAGCGCTTTAACTGTTACCAACATTTTGGTCATTGTTCTTCCCTGTTCTACTGGCTGGATTATTTTAAAGCAAATTCCTCCTGTATATTCCTGTTTTATATATTCCTGGTGAAATAGTGTAGTATGAAAGTTTAGAAGATGGAAGAAAGAAGTTGAAAATAACCATAATATCATTAAGTTGAATTAAACTTAATTAAAATTAAAGTTTAAATGATAATATCATTAAGCTTAAAATAACCGTATCATTAAACATTTATAAGACGTTAATAACAATTCCTTAATATCATTAGATGATTTCCTAGATTGTTTCATAAAATGTATTTTTACTGATGATTTTTAAAAATCATAATCATAGAGGGTCCACACGTTGCATTAAGTTAATATGTTACTTCAGAATCATGTAATCATTATAATGTTTTTATAAGTTTACAAAAGAATTACAACATCGCATGAACAGTTTCCCAATTCCTTTAGTATTTTTCTGTATAGTTTTAATTGTACATGCAATAGATGTGCTTTTCCTTTGGATACCACATATTGTCTATATTTTTTTTAAAAAGCAAAACAGAAAAGATCATATCAGTTTAAAACACATTTGTATATTTTGTGTAATCTAGTCTATTACTGGATCAGAAATAGTATATTTAATATAAAGTAATTGTCTTGCTTACTGTGATTTAAGAATTCAGCGTGTAGTGGGGTATAAATATATTACTTTCTAGTCTCTGAAGTATGCATTTATTATTCTTAACTTCAGGCCTTTCCATTATTACAGCATATTTCCCAAGAATGAGAAGTAACATATAAAGCTAGTTGCTTTTTTAAATCTTTATTCCAGATTGCTCTCAATGTTGCTGGAAAAGGTGATAGTTTGGCATCATGGGATGGGATTTTAGACCTGCCAGAACAGAACATTATTCATAATGATTGCCAAGAGCTTATTGGTAAGTTTAATAATGATTGCCAATAAGCTTATTGGTAAGCTTATTGGTAAATTTTGAAAATATTAAATTTTGGATTGGGAGTTGCAATTATCTGTTTATAAGTTGCAACAGTCAGTTGAATTGTAAAGGGCTTGTAAATAGTGTTAGAATTTTTATTGAATTTTATTTGAATTTTTCTTTTTTAATTCTTATGACATAAAGTCTCAAAACTTTTAAAAAGCCCAGTTTCTATTATTTTTGGTGTGTTATCTTTTTAATTCTTCATGTACATGTATAGTTTTGTGGCAGTATTAAACTTGATTTTTTTATCATTAAAGAGTGTATGATTGTATACTGTTCTCAAAAGGGCAGTACTCCAGAAGTTTATTTATAAATCTTAGGCTGTGGTTTGTTGTAGAAAAACTGTTTGTCAATCATAGGTGAATAGTTTCCAATAATCTTACAAGGGCTAAGTCAATTCATAATATTAACAGAACTAATTTCATTTACAACTCCTTCTAGTTCATCTGTTGTCCGTTGATTTTTGTTTGTTTCAATTTGTGTATTAACTACAGCAGAAACATTATTTCTAATGTGGGCAAAGGATAGGGAATTTGGTGAGGGAGAATGAATATCTTTCCCTTCCCTTGCAAAAGCTATGGTGGCAGCTGTCTATCATGGCATAGCTGATAACCTTGTTTGGAAAATACTTCTTGCTTTCCAAGAACATGAGCCATGCTCTCTGCCTACCTTTATACTTTCAGACTAACCATTCTTATGTTTTACATATATATAT